CTATTGGGTTATGGGGTGTACAGCGCGCATGCCTGATTTAAACCCCATAGAGCAAGTGTCGGATAAACTTGGAATACAAAACCTTCACCAATTAGAGAGATCTTCAAAACGCGTTGGAGAAAGAATGGAACTCTTAATATTTCATTGATAACTTGACTAGAAGTATGCCAAGGAGGATTAACAGTTGGAAAAGCTAAATGGGGCAACACTAAGTACTGATTATATATAGCCCACGTTATATACTTTCCTAAGATCTTATGAAAAATTGAATGTAATTTTAAGTACAAAAATGGTTCTTTCCTATAAAATTTTTCTTTTCGCCATACCTAAACAGTGATCTATTTGAAATTAAAAATTTCCTCGTTTATTGCGGCTAATTTTTCAGAACGAATATTTGCAGTTACGTTTTGTAAAGGTAATAAATTTATAAAAACCGATTAGGTTTTTTTTGCTACATAACTTTTGCTACATTAACATTTTTATTTTAGCAATTACTTTACATATGTACAGTACATATATAAAAATGTGTCGAATGTCAAGAAATAGTGACCGACACAAATTTAAATTGAGGAATAGATGTAAATGGCGCTATTATTATAATAAATAGTTAAAACAAAAACCATACTATCCAATAATATCAGCGATGGAAGGTTAAGGTACAACTGGGGTGGCCCTTGAGTCACTACAAAGTCGCGAACATTTATTCATTATATAAATAAGGCATAAAGTAATTTGGATTCTATAAAAAAAAATTGTTTCTGTTAAATAAGCTATCTGTACTGTTAACGGTGAATAACGAAACTATTTAACGACATGACCATTATCATGAAATAGCAATATTGTGTATAGTTGTTATTATTGTCAAACGATCTCTATTTATTGGTTTAATCACGCTTTATCGTGATATGGTCAACAAACAATGTTAAATATTATAAAATGCCACTATTTCACGAAATAATCGATTACTTTATAATCAGATCAACGATCATGGGCACGACATATATAAAAATCTCTTTAATTAAATTATAAGTATAATGAGAATTTTGGAATAATTTTAGGGGGACCTGTTTTATCAGTTTACATACAAAGTAGTAATTTAACTCAGAACTGTCATTAAATTAATCAAAATTATTGTTTATTTAATACATAATATCCTGAATAAACTAAAAAAGAGATAACTTTCATGATCACGGAGCTTAGCAATTTTAGAAAATGAGCCCGAACAACAACGTCTTAAATGCTTGTTTACTTGTTAGGTTGTCTTAACTTTTCAGGCAGGTATCGCATAGGATCGCGGCGTGGACACAGTATAAGATAAAGATATGAAGCCCAAACGGTAAAGAGGTATAATCTGGCTTCAGGCAAAATCTGGACTCATCTGTGTATTGAACTTGAGTCCAAGCTTCATGGCATTGATTCGACGATCTTCATGCTTTTATTCCGGCCGATTTCAGTCTTTTCTCACCGTTTTTGTATTTACTATAAACCCTCGAACTTCTTGGAGCTTCGTTCTCACCTCAGAAGAAGTTTAAGTTCGGTTTCTAAGCACACTCGTAACGATAAACTGGTCTTTAAAAAAAGTTTTGAGCGTGAAAGTTTGTAGCGCTGCTGCAATAAAATTATCATCATATTTGAAAGTCAAGAAGTGTCACGACTGTCACCGATAATTCACAAGGTAAATCGTCAACTAAAATTGTGATACAAAATTTAGTAGAATCGAACTCGGGTTGCGGGCCATAAAATCTTTAGCTAAGCTAACGTAACCATTTTACGTGATAATAATTATTTAAACAAAACTTGATAGGGGTGACAAACGAGCACACAGTCCGCCTGATGGTGAGTGGATGCTGTGGACCGTAGATATCTACATCTATGTTCAATAAAATATCAAAATGCAGATGCGTTGTCACCCTTGAGGATTATATTTGTGCTACTACTATAATATACCTACAGAATATTTCTGCCACATATAAACAAAAACGGTGGCTTAGTTCGGGAAATCAATTGCATTTTAGTTATCATATTAAGATTTTTAATTTACTACTACTTTAACACCAACAATTCCACTAAAAATTACAACTTTTATTCATTTTAAAAGAAACTTAAATCAAGTAATCATCATAATCATCATTACAGCCCTTCACAAGTACATGCTGAATATAGACCTCCACCAAGAAATTCCACAAAGCACATTTCTGACTTTTGAGCCACCTGCATCGATTGACTTCCTGCATCTTGTACCAGGTCTCTCTCCATGTAGTGTAGGATCGCTTTACACTTCTTACAGGCGTTATAATTCTTACTGATACGCTGAGTTCAGATGACTGAGTCGGTTACTTTTGACTACTACAACTCTCTACCACTTACTCTTATATAACTTCTTAGCTTCACAATCATGTAAACATTATTTTTGGGTTGATAAGACATATTTTAAAAAGTATTTTTTATTAGAAACTATTTTTAACAACGTGTAATATAGCTATAAAATGTTCATCTTTTGCTCCGTTTTACTTGAAAATGGATTATTATTATCTATATAATACAAACAAATTTATAAATACATCTATATATAAATGGATTTGGGCGTGACGGTCACGCGAGTTCAGTGCTTTTTCCTCATCCCATAAGTACCTAATTGTGCCTGAAGAAGTTTCTACTTAAAAATGAGGGTAGGTATAAATATATTTGTTAAAATACCATCTGCCTAAATCTTAAAATAGTCTACTGATGTACAAAGGTCTTTTTAGAATTGTTTGTGATTATTGTCTCGCTTAGATCGGCGATCGCAGTTCCCAGACGTCTCCTACCGTTCTTACTGCTCTCTCTCTCTCTCTCTTTCGTAATTAGGCTAAGCAGTGGGATTTGTGGCTGATGAAAAAGAAGAATGATAAAGGAAGCTTTTACATTTTAATTAAGAATCAAATTTCAATTATAAATTTATTTATTTTTACTTAGTCAATATATACACATTTATTTCAGAAGAGATTATTTAAAAATATGAAAATATGGAGCAGTTGTATCGATGGTAACTTACTTTAGCTTTACGATGATTAACACATCAAAACGGTTTTCATTAAGAAATAAGGTATGGATTTACATAAAATATAAAACAAAACCATATAACAACAATAGATCCATATACACTTATAATATTAATAACTATTTAATTAGACTAAAGGCAGTGATAAGCTTAATTTTTTGAAATTTTAATATAGCTTTTAAAATAATTCATAAAATCTATTGCGATAAATAATAATATAAATTTACATTCACATTTTATGCTTCACACAACTAACATACTTTTTACACATCTGAAATATAATACTAAAAAAGTCAGATTTTTCAGTAATTTAAAAAAATTAATATAAATGCAACCTCTCTGTAAACCGGTAGGTAATTTTAATAGAATATCACCTTTCAAAGACGTGATACTACTGTTGACGCCATGTTGCGACTCTCTATTATGTGACAAAACATCGATATTAAAATTTTAATAATCATCGATCATCCCTAGCACGAGTTTAACGCATCTTACAATTTTATTGTTATTCCTTTGCATTTTAGTAATATTATAATTGCTCTCGTTTGTTATTAATAGCCTAAGGTATATTTTGAGGATAGATGCCTTTAATCAATGTATTAAATGGCCAAATTTTAAAAAGTGTGTAATCGTATCAAGCACCACGCACGCAACCTGTAGTAAATAGTATAAAACGTAATGATTTCTAATATTATTTTTCTTTTTTATAAATTAATATAATGTTTTATTAACACCTAATACAATTTCTAATAAAATATTTTAGATAATTAATCTACTTATAGAGCTTTATAAGGCGAACACAACAACCCATGCGCAGAGTGAGACACTTTCATAAAGTACCCAAGAATAGAAACACTTTGTTAGCTTTATTAAATTTGTCAACTATCAAACATTAAAGTCACTGAATAATAAATATCGTAAAAACTAAATAAATAAAAATGGAAGAATAATATAAAAAAATTAAAAATAGACACGTGCATAAATGGCACATGGATTTATACTTAAGATTAATGACGGACCTAAAACTAACATGCTTTTTAATGACGTTTCAAGCATCAGAAATAATTTTCTTTCATTGAACTAAAGTAAAATAGGACAGTTTGTATAGACACTTTGTGAATGAAGAAAATATCAATTTTATAGACATTGATATCCAACACCAAGTATCTAGAAATGAAAATAAAATATAATGATAATAAATCTAGATTTTAAAAGTTCGTTCGATATTTTCGGAGATATTCGAATAGAAAATATAAAATCCCGATAATAGCCCTCACTACTACTACTTTAAATATATAATAAGGCAAGGTTTTTAAAATAAACAAAGAAGTAAACTAAAACCGTGCTTAAAAACAAAATAAATACCTAACTATTACGGTTTTACAGTAACAGATATAGCTGTATATGAAATTTAAAAAAAGGGCCGCAACAAATAAACAGTACCCCACCATTTAAGTTATGTATTTAGTACTTTAACGTACTTACACTCTAACCTCCTTATTACAACCGACATTATATACACCAATAAAAGTGAAGAGATTCATATTTACAAAACAAATTAAATAGTTAAATTAAAATAAAATCTATCATCACATTATTTACCTAGTTTCTACCACTTTAGACAATTCTATAATTGATTTTCTTGCTAGTTATTTACTTTACCGAAACCAATTACATTTTGCCAACAGAAACAAAAGCCTTTTTTTCCATGAGTTTTCTTTTAATTGTTTGTCAGCCATCGATGGCTTATTTTATATTGTTAAAACAATTTTGTAACAAAAAATTTAATTAAATTAAGTTTTGTTTATTATCTACAACTATCTTTTTCTTTAATGTACACTTTTATAAGTGTATTTTTAAGGTCCAATTATTTAATCAATTATTTACAAATCACTTCCAACACATAGTGCGTACTATGACACTTCCGGAAAAGTATGGAGTCCACGCCAAAATGCCCGATTTATCCGGAACCGTTCGAGTAGACGTCCGTCGCGGCCCTCTGACCAGCACGTATCACACTTTGCACAGTCTGGGCTGCACCCTGGAAATTAAAAATAACGATTATTACCTTAAAATGAACGTTATATACATATAACTGAGAAGCGCCGTGTAGTGGCAGTGTAAGAGAATCAACTACACTATATCATCCCTTTGATGAAGATTTGTCAAGGTTAAGGCAAATATCTAAGGCAACTGTATCCGGCTAATATAATAAAAATACATGGGTTTAAAAGGGCTGCCGTAGTAGCTCAGAAGCTAACCGCTCGCTGTATATTTCATGCTACACAATCAACTCGGTTTCAATCCCCACCGATTTTACCGTGTAATTTTAAATCCTGTTTTGTCACACGTTCGGCGATAAAGATAAACATCATGAAGAAACCTAAGTAAAGTCTGCCACACGCGTTCGAATTGGAGCAGTTCGGCTAATTCCTTCAAAATTCTCTCTAAAAAACAGAAGCAGTGACAAGTATAAAGGTTGTAACTTCGCATTACTATAATTTAACAAACAATAAACAAATACTCGGTATTTGGTGGCGGTGTTGCATACTACTGGACTTTATGAGGACAGTAATAATATCCCTCTGACGCACTAGCTCGGGATGCAACCTGTTAATCAAGAAATAAGACTGCTGGCAAAAAAATCATCGGAAATTATGAACCAAATTTTGACTTTTGCTGTCAAAAGTTAAAATTTGTTTCAGCCTTGAAAATTTATATCGAGCGTGTGAAACTTCTTGAGAGAGTAATGATCCTTCGTACTGGTCGTATGACGAAAGGGAACGTCGCTCTTAGTGATTTATGATGAGATCTAGTTCCAAGTTTTTCTGCGTAACGACTTCATCGCGCAAATAAACATGCCCAACGGATTAGTAAGCTGAAGTGGCAAGGGCCGGCCATATAGCTCAAAATCCGATAACCTATGGGGAAGAAAGGTTCTCGAGTGGCAGACTCGTACCGATAGGCGAAGTGTATGACGTCCCCCCACTAGATGGAATGACAACCTGGTAAGACATGCAGGAAGTTGATGGATGTAGAATGTTCAGAACCGTGGTTTGTGACATTTTTTGTGGAAGGACTATGTTTAGCAATGGACTTGTGAGATATCATAAGCTATAATAATGATGATAATGATGACTACCAGTGCGGAGCTGTCCATCCACTAATGCACCTGCCTTGCGTAGTCAGTATTGCAATGCACGCCTGCGATCAACAATGTATGTTGATCGAAGATGCACGCTAACGAGCGCTATCTACATAGTCCTATGACTGTGATGGAAGGAGGAGGGTTTTTTGTGTTTGATTGATTCCAGGCTGTTGAAGATTAAGTCGTTCCTACTCGTATTTGATCTTAGAAAATAAGACTAGGTCGAAATCGAGTCAAAATACTGGTCGAAGTAAAAGTAAACTTAATATAATTGCAAAACATTATGTTGAAGTAAACATACGGTACAAATTTACGACATCATAAGCGACTGAACGTGTCCCAGATATAAATATACCTGATGCTATCAAAGTTGTTTCGAAATTAAAGCTTAAAGACAAATTATTGACTTAAGCGTATTAAAATTATATTAATTTTGTTTTAGTATTTTAGAAATAGGTTGACGAGAGATTAACTATTTAGAATGAATGAAATGGTTACAATGATTACTGCAATATGTAGTAGAAATCAATTATAACACTTACATTTTGATGACCATAGCTGCACTTTTCTGAAATTTTTTAATTGTAACATAATCTCCTGCATTTACCTACAAGTATTTATCTGCATATTTTGCAGTATATTGAGTTTGAAACTATGTCTCCGGGAATTTAAAAGAAATATTTAATCTTTCAATTTAAGGTTTGAAACTTTGCAACCTTGGTTACGAAATTAGATATTTGCAGGCATGGTTATGTAACCTACCTGTATTGCAGCGCCGAGGAACTGAGAGAAAGCTCTCGTGACGTTTATGGCTGCAGAAACAAGTTGCCCTCCACCCGGCGCCTGCTCAGCCGCTACTGCCCGTGGGGGCTCCAGAGGTATCTAGCGAGTCCAGTTACGTGGAGTGATATTATTAGTTGTATTAAACAGTGATTATTATTCGGTAATTATTAGACGAATGCGTTTAGACAATTTACTTTTATTTTGGCAAAAATATGAAAGTTAAAAAGTGTGCTACAAGTTAGTTTTTGCATCAGAAACAAGCGAAATAATATGTTTATATTTGATTACACTATTTAATGGATATGAGTGGAAAAACTAGAGTGCAAAAATTAAAAGTTAAACACAACTTGAATTTACAGCGTTTATTTATATATACATAGGAAATGGAATCACCAACCACCATAGACTAATGAGTGCAGTGAAAAGTATTAGTATGATTGTGATATACTAAATTTGCTTTGTATTGAAATTTCATGTTTACTTAATTTATAGACCACAATATAATCTTAAAAATTTAGCAATAATTCATATCGAACAAATGTTACAAATTTATCAAATTGAGTATGCTTGCAATACTGTAAATACTTACAGTAAATATTTGTCACTGATAATATTTATCAATGTAAACACATCACTGTTTTTCGAAATACATAAATAAACGGAATAATAGATAAAAATTGTAAAAGCACTCCGCATTTTGAATTTGATTTTCAATAATATATTAAATTACCGTATTTATGCAATTAATTATATTGATTGATACAAAATATAAATAAGATAAAGGAAATTAAGGTAATAGCTAGATACATCCATTATAATGTTAATATATTTACAAAATGTGGTCCATTACTCACCCATAATAACACCCATAACACTCGCGATTAACACTGATTTCTACTGCAGTTTACAAAACGTAGTAGCCGATATACGATAATAAAAGCAATGGACAAGATTGATTGGGACTCCATATTATATATTATGTACCCAAAACACAGATTATTAGATGGGAATAAAGTTTTAAAAGGAATGTACAATATCTACTGCCCACCTGTGTATTGTTTTCGTAATTATTAGCTAAGTAACGTATGGTAAATGGGAAAATGAAGGAAGTGATACGCAGGGAAATAATTTTATTTTACAATATTATATACAATGTGAATTAATTTTTTATTTCTATTTGACATCGATATTTAATCGCTTTAAATTGAGTTAAAAAACTTTTTGTCGGGAAATGTCCTTACTTTTATGTCATATTATATTTATAATTCAGAACGATAATTTGAAGTTTTCGTTTACTTTGCAGCATGGATGTAGTAAATATTTTTATGCCTTGTACTCGATGTTAAGTAGAATAATCAGTATGATCATCACAATTTGTAATTATTGAATAATATATCAGAGCTCAAGTGACTAACTTTGATTATTAAAAAATTTTAACATATTATACGTGTATTTAAATCTAAAATGCAAACACACATATATAAACTCATATTAAATTTTAATGCTCATTTCGATGAATGCATAGTAAAAAAATATGTATCAATTTTCTTCCTCGTTAGCACTAGTTACAAAATTTAAAACTTATGTAAAATTGGTTCACCTATTTTAATAAATAAATTCTTAAATCACATTCTTAATTTTCGCTTAACATATACTTTAAGTATGACTAATTTTTTTCTTGTTAGCAGTTCCCAAAGTTATTCATGGGTTTATTTACATGGGTTTATTTATTTACATAATATAAAAACCGCCCAATCCGAAATAAAATTAATGTAAATTTAATTCAAAAGTAACTTAGATTAAATAGGAACGAAACTGAAACGATCTCTTAGATGCACATAAATAAAATTAAATCAGTTAATTGTCCTATGAATCAATTCTATTTAATCTAAGATTTTATTCGTCACCTCAACCCCACTCACATAATTTAAGTAAAAGTGAAGAAAAACCCACTCGATTCGAGGACGGAGTTTCGTCGGCGTTGCCAACAAATGGCCCAGAGCCAAACCAATTGGTTCTAGAAGGAGCAGCTACTGAAGAAGATGCAGCAGAACTGGACGATGACGCTGGCCGTTTTTTATTCGTCCTGGTTCCACCATTACCAGACCCAGGTTCCGTTTCTCTCCACTGCTGCCAAAGCCAAGCTATGCCATCCAAAATTGGCCTTCGTGGTGCTGGAGGCGGCGGAGGAAGTGTTGTCGTCCGCCTAGCCTTCGGCGTCACTACCACTTGGTTGAGTAAAGCCTACGAGGTTATATTTGGTTCTAAGATTTTGCTATAACCGCATAATGAATAAAAAGTGCAAAACATAAGATGTATGATTATAAAGCAAAAAATTAATTAAAAACTGAAAGAAATGAATGACAGATGAAAATTTAAAGTTACTGAGTGATCATGTTTTAAATGAATATGATTAAATTTAACTTTTTGAGAATAAGTTATTATGAACTCGAATATATTTACGAACAATATAAAATAGAAATAAAAGAAAGAACTAACAGCGAGTCGAACTTGCTCATCCAAAGAACTTGCCGTTGTTGGACCGAATCCTTGTTCCTTAAGCAATGCTGCAAGGAGTGCATCGTTGCTGTTTCCATACTCAGTACTCAATGAGATCGATGATTTCGTGGCTTCTGATACCATTACCGTAGGTTTCGCTTGTTGGATTAACTTTTTAAGCGCTTCGTCTGAAGATTGCCCTGTAATAATTCAAATAATAAATTTAAATACGAAATTCAAAGAATTTTTTGCATTTATTGATTATTTTATTCATATATTACGTTGTATACCTGTAATGGCAAGTTTACTTTTATGTGTCGTTGTTTCCTGTGCATCTTTTAGCTTAATTAATGTTTGAAGTAACTTTGCCTCATCTTGAACATCTTTTAAATTATCCTTTACAGCTATTTTTGCTCCGAAAGTTTTAGTAGTAGTTGGAATGGTGGTTATTATACTTGGTTTATTTGTCAAAGGTACAAAAGGTTCATTTAAAGGCGATGGTGACGCAAGGAGATTTGAAAGTTGCTTTAAATCCTCTTTAACAACCGAAGAAACTTTTGGACTAACTTTTATACTTGGCAGCGTTGGTATATTAAACTTGGAAGGATCCTGCCCAGTTGCCTTTAAAAGAGCTTGTAATAATTTTGTATCTCGTTCAAATTGCTTGATATCATCTTCTATGGACGGTGTTATTTTGCTAGGTGTTGTTATTGGTTTGAAAGTAGTGGTAGTAGTAGCCCTCGTAGTTGGACTTGTTGTTCTTGCAGTCGTGGTACGCATAGAATTGACGGAATTTGAATTGATATTTTTGCTACCTCGGGAGGAATCTGCTTGCTTTCCTGTTTGCAATTCACTTAAGCTTCTTTCCACAGCGAGGGCTATGACGCGATTAGCTAGTGCAGCTTCGGGATCATCATTGTTAATATTATTTGTGTTTAGGACGGATTTCTGAAAATAATATTTTCTAAGTAAGCTGACAAGGAAATAAAATTTAATATTAAATGCTGTTAAGGTTCTTAAACATTTAAATGTTAATAAATTTAGTCAAATCAATAAAGATACTGAATTATCTGGAACAGCTTGGCTTAACTAACGGACCGGAGTGATTTTTAATAAAAATTGTAGTCAGTACTTTCAATTTCTTTGTATTCTCATTTTTATCTCTGTATAATCTTTTAAATAATTAATGTAGTAACGTGCTTGAAATTATAACTTATTGTGATATAACCAAAATATATATAAAATTGTATTATTAGCCAAAAAAAAATAATAATAAGGGTGAAATGAGACGTAAAGATAAATAATAATATAAATATATACATATTATATGATTTCTTATTATTGATAATTAAATTTCGAAGTAGATTGAAAGTAACTCAAAGATATAGTGAAAATATAAGTCCCACCGCTGGGCACGAATCTACTCTTATTTCTGAGAGGAGGCTTAATCGTATGGAGCGATTAGTCCATCGCGTCGTTACATTGTGTTCGTGGACTTTACGTGCCCCCAAAATATTTTATTCGTCGGAAATGCAGGATTCCTCACGATGTTTTCATTCACTACTAGCACTATGTAAATCACTACTTAAAATTGCAATTAAAAATTTAATTGTTGCCTGCTAGGATCAAAATTAGGTTGCTCGCGTTACACCGAGTGAAATGGTGCAGGCGTCTGTTCTTCTCCCAATCCATCCCACTCTCTCTTTTTCGCGAGCACACAGTCGAACTGATGATAAGTAGATCCTGTGGCCATTTCACATTCGTACTGCAACTATTATAAAGTTGCAGCGTGACTCTATCACGTACAAACAAATTATTGTGTGTGCTTAATTTCAATTTGATTTCTTAATAACTAAGAACTACAAATCGTTATGGTTCATCCATATCTTGTAAAATCATATTTATTTTATTAATAATATTGGGAGCCCTACGTACTAGGTTCTAAATAAGTCTTATTTCAGAAATATTTCAATCGTTTTTATGCTAATTCGAGTTATATCTTTCTTACGCTTTAAAATTCTGTATCTTAACTGCCGTTCCTTTTAATATTTTAGCTATTTAAGCATCTACTTATGGCCAGTAGTAAAGGATCAATTCAACTCACACTGGTTCAAGTTTTCGGGGAAATTTTGACAAGAAAAGGTATCACATCTTTCCTAACGCTATCCAGCAGATTTGGATCCGTTGATTGACCACCTGATCGAAATTGAGCTTACCTAGTCAGACAACTCGTCGTAACTAAACGAACTCATCAACAACTTCGATCGTAAGTTCCGAATAACTATCAGCATAGGTATGACATTTATTTATTTACAAGCGACCCACCCCGGCTTCGCCTAGAAATAATCTATTAATATGGGTGTATTTTATCAATTTATCAAGAAACTAATCTTCAAAAAAATCTTATTTATGTGTCTTGTTCGTGTCCGTTACGATATGTTCGTTAGGGTAGAGACTAATGAGGTAATTAAATTAAAGTTAATATAAAAATAATAAAAGTAAATAATCGTCAAATCGTCAAACACTGTAATTATAAATAAAAAATATGCATCCGCAAAATTAATCATAAAGAAATGTTTGGTCACCCTATCATATGACTAAACAGAAGAATTGTTAAAAACTGACTTTTGCTAATTGATGGTATTTGTGAAATTTTTAGGTAAATATTGTTGTTGTTTTAATTTTATTTTCTTTTTCTTTTCAAATGTAAATACATATATAATTAATACATTGCAGTTATATAAAACTTGGCTTGGTTGTTAAAGATTTCTTTCTTTTTTTATGTTTTTAGATTTTGAGCATTAAGCAGTTCTTTTATTGCTATTTTGTGTAAGTATATTAAGAGAGATTGTTTGATAAGATGTATAAAATAATGCCTTGTGAACTTTGGTCTCAGGTTTCCTCGATGCAGGCTTGCCTAGTGAGGAAACCAACAGATATTACCTATTGTATATATTTTTCTGTTAATAAAATATTTTCGTTTTTTTTTTCCATTTAGTATAGTGCCAAGGTCCTTCAGCGAATCAGCCATAGTTGCTATTTTTTCGGCTAATCGTAGGTGCAATTGATGTTGAAACCGTATCCTTTCCAGCCTAGTAGCTACAAATGAATACAATTTTAGCACCGCAACATTAACTAGTAAAACCTAAAAATCCCTGCAATATCCGTCTTTATTGAAAAATTTATGAAAATTTTCACCTCGTTGAAATAATCTGACTATAGGTAACGTATAACCTATAAAAAAGAAGTTGATGCTATTTTCAAAGTTAATCAAATTTTTAAGCTCGACTCGACTAGTGATTACACAATTTCACTTACCAAATTCTTTAAAAATTCTAAATCTTCTTCAGCTGAAAACGTAGAGGTGCTTGGTATATCAGTCGTAACCCGTGTTGTTTCAGGGACCCGTCTAGCGTTTATCGTAGACAATGGTTCAGGAAAGTTAGTTGTTGTTAATAATCTTCTATCAATTGGTGGATATGTGGTAGAAATTCCAATTTCTTCTGTAACAGTACTTTGTTGGTCCTGCAAAGTAGTTAATATGGAAATAGTTTGTGGAAATTCAGTCTGTAATTTATTTGGCCGAACTGTGGTGTAAACAGGTCGCACATTATTTGACGTTGTGGGATTAGATTCGATTGAAGTTGATAGAGGATTTGAAGCAATTCTTACATTGGAAGTTGTCTTCGATATTACTGGCTGGCCTAAATCAGTGTTTTGTCCGGTAATTTGTAACAATGCTTGTAGTAATTGAGTATCTTCTTTTAATTTCTTTATTTCTTCGTCAATTGAAGATGTAGTTGTTTTTGTTTGAATTGGTGTTGTTGTTTTTGTTCGGGTCGTTGTTGTTGGTAATGAAGTAGTTTTCAATGTAGTTGTTGTAGTGGTGATCGGATTACTTTTCAACATAATTGCAGGAATTTCTCTAATATCACCTAAACTTGGAATTTTTAGTTCATTTGGATTTCGGCCCGTGGCTTGTAAAAGTACTCTTAATAATTTTGTATCTTCCTCGAATTGTCGGATATCATCTTCTATGGAGCGCAAAGTAGTTGTTTGTATCGTGCCACCTGGTTTATAAGAATCGGGTAACTTTTGGCCAGTAGCTATTAAGAACTTAGGATTTAATGTTGTTGATAAGACTGCTTGTAAGCTTTGTAGTAACTCTGAATTTTCTTGTTTTTTATTGGAATCAATTTTCATAGTAGTAGTTGCTGGTAATATGGCACTGTCAAGTGTAGTAAACGTTTCGTCAGAAGACTGGGTGGATGATATTGATACAACATCCTGGGCTGTCGTTTCGAGATTTATGGAAAAAATGTTTGCTGAGCTCGCAGTGGTGGGATTTGCTACATCATTTTTTAGCATATCATTAACAGCAAGTTGTGGTATTGTAGTGGTTGACATTATTGGAAGAGGTTTTGTTGTATCAAGCTGTGTTGCCGGGAGTTCCGTTATTTCATCTTTTACTGTAGTCATTATTCTGTCGAATTCTTCTTTATTATCAAGAAATGAACTTTTAGTAGGTTTTAAATTTTCCACCTGAATATCATTTGGTGTTACAGAATTTGTGAATATAACAGGCGTTGAAGACTGACTATCAATTCCATCATCAGACATCGTTGTGAATTTATCCATATTTTCTATGTTTTTTTGAATTTGTGATGTTGGTGAGTTAATTTCTGTAACTGATATTGGTGTTACAGTTTTAATATCTTTTTCTGTATTATATTTAATAGGTGCTTTCGTAGAAGCTAGTTTTAAAACGTTTGTGTTTTGTGGAGGTACCGTTACTTCATCAATGGGTATAAATTTGAAAACTGCATTTCCTTTACCATCAGCAGGTTTTTCCGTACGGATTTGTTGTGTCTGTAATTTGTTAAAATTTATTTAAGAATAATTAAAAGAAAAATAATTTAAAAAGATTTCAATTGCAAGTATTTAATTAATTTAAATAATCCACCATAACAAAACTAGATGAATCCATCACCACTTACCTTAAATGTATACAATTAAAATACAATTTTATAAACATTGGACTTCATCATGCATCCAACAAAGTTACCGTGTTTTATTTTTATCAGTTATTTAATTTAAAATATCTAAAAGACTACCTAAAGTTTGAAAAGTTAGTGTAAAACTATATTAACTACATAAATCAGAAAGTGATAAAGATGGTGTGAGAACTACATGATTTATATAAGTATTATACCTCCGGATCAATATCCAGTGTTAATATTCTTGGTTCACGAGTAGAGCTCATCATTGATGATATAACCATTTCCTCTTTAGTGGCCGAAGATAAACTATTAAGCAGAATCTCATGAATAGAAGGTAGCATTGTAGTAGTGCGTAAACTTAAAACATGCGAGGCAGTGATTTTGTCAGCAAACGGCTTAATTGTGGCAGTAGTTATACCCAAGGAACTGGTACCTTTTAGATTAGGTGCCGATGAAGGTATCTGCAATTATGAAATAATATGTTATGCTTTGTTATGTTAATTGATAATCAAGCGCTTGTGCAGGAGGCATGCATAGCTTACCCGTAATCCCGCTATCGCAACATAAGCACTATATTATAATACATATCACCCGAGAAGTTAAAGCCCAAGCCAGCTTTCAAGCTAAACAATTAAAAAAGAATACCATCATTTGCTGGTTATTTACAGTGTCGGTGGTTAATCTGTTTTCCATTCCGTTATTTGTGTTTGTGGATGTCACAATATTAGTGGATACTCGGATGGGGTTAGGCTGCGGTCTGACAATGGCCGGATTATTATGGATAGGGCTGTATGGGTTTCTTAGACTCCATGGACTGATTGGTAGTACGTCAATTTTTTGCATGATTCGTGGTACTCTAGTTCCATTTGGAAATTTACGTATTATTGTGTTATTAGGTAGCACGCCATAAATAATGTATGGAGTTGCCTCCGTTAATGTTTCCAGTACATTATCGTTAGGATCTTTACGTACCACTGTATTATTAGGCAGTATTCCAAATATAACATAATCTTTTTTCGGAATAGTTCGCTGAGTGGCGACGTTGAGTTGAGCTATAGTTGTTATTAAATCATTTGATTTAGTTTCTTTTACCAATGTTACAGTGGTGGTTTCGATACCTGCTTGAGTAGTTGTTTCTAAATTGCTCTCAGTAAGGCTTGTCTTGGTAGACGATTCCAAATCTATCAAAGAGGTCGTGACTTCAGTGCTGACTTGAGCAATAGTTGATGGAGTTGTAGATTTTAGTGTATCTTGAGATTCTGTTGTTTCTTCAACAGTAGTTAGCTCTGTGTTCATTTTTGTGCTATGCAAAGCATCAGCAATTTCGCTTGAAGCTTGTGAAGCTATTATTTCAGATACGTCTGCACTAGTAGTAGTTGAGGGTAGTTCAGTTATGGGTATATTAGTAGGCAGTAGGTCAGTTGAAACAGTCATTGGTGGGACCGTAATGTCGGTTCTAAGACTACTAATTATAGTTTCCGTTGTAGTTTTGTCGGGAAATTCAGATTGTGTAGTAGATATGAGTGAATTAGAAACTGGATCAGAAATAAAATCCGGAGTGGTTAAATCGATATCAAAAACGGTTGATTCACTTTTAGAATCCATTGTGTTAATTATTTCGGTTAGGCGATCGGAAAATAGAGAATTAGCTTGTTCCTTTAATACAGTAAAAGGAGCATTTGCTATTTCATCATTATGTTCTTTAATTATTTGTTGAATCATATTCAAGACACGTGCTTTTTTTGAAAGTACCCATAATTGAAAATTTGATATTTGACTTGAATCTTTAATGTTAATATTATCAGTCTCATCAAATTGTTTATTCGATATAGCTATTAAAGGCGTTGTATTATTAATTTCATTTAAAGGAACTTTATCAATTATGGAATTTGCGACAAATGGGACTGAAAAAGGTTGAATAGTGCTGTCTATCATTGGATTACTAACAGTGCTTGTCTCTACATTATTTACACTAGTGGGTTTAGTTAAGCCAGACAAAGTACCTGTATCAATATTTATGTCTAATGTTGTACTAGATGTTTTTAATGTTGTTGTTGACAAATCGAAAGAAGCCGGTGTATTATTATTTACATACTCGGTAGTCGTTTCGATATCAGCTACAGTTGTCTTGCTCTCTAATTCAGATAAAGTGTTACTTAAAAACAGTTGTGAATAAACCGAGCTATTTACAGCTTTTTGTGAATCGATTGCTAAATCTAAAAGATCAAAAGTATCCTCCGTTTTATTTACATTACCATTCAATACATTTTGGAAGAGATTGTTATTATCAATAGAAGAATTTTGGTTCTCATTAATGTTAATATTTTCGGTATCCTTAATGTCCTCCAAACTGTAAGGAGTGGTATTTGGAACTACATCAGTATCACTGAAGGAAGATAGCTTATTCATAGCCCTAGGAATTAATTTCCTCAACATATCTACCATATCTACAGACAATTTTGATCTACTTTCTTCGTCCAAATTTTGGATAATATTTATAATATTATTAGATAACATGCTAGTTAGTTCCGACGACACTAATTTTTTGTTAGATAATAAAAGGTCAGATGCAGTGTTATATACCATTTTCGTGCTATCAGTCGTAGGCTGATTCGTCGTATGTTCAGATGAGGTCGTAAATTCGTCTGTCAGCCGTTCGGTATCTGAGTATAATATTTTTATGGCAAAGGGTTTCCTTGCGGAAATAGGAGTGGTTAGGGTAGGATAAGAGGTACTTTGAGAAGTACTTGTAGGTGTAAATTTCTCCTCTTCTTTAAGTGACGGTAAAATACGATCCCCTACCGTCAAGCGGTTAAGCACATTTGGTGTAGTCTGATCAGTGATTTGTACAGGCATTAATGTATTTATAGATGTGCCCTGACTTGACAAGTCAGTGACACTATTTACATTATTATTGTTACTCACGCCGTTGAATGTCTGTTTAACAACCGTATCAGTGAAAATTTGTTGCGGTACTTCTGTTGTTGTAGAAATTTGAATTCTGGGTGTGGAAGTAAGTATTTCTGCTAAAGCATCAAAAATAGATATAGTGACTGATGGTGAGTGATTTGAGGCCTCTACATTCATAACATGTGATGGTTTTACTAAACTCTCTGAAAGTTTTAAATCAGCTGAAGATATTGTACTTCGTGTCTGAGTAAAAGAAATAGCGTTCATGTCACCTAATTGAATCTCTTCACCCACTACCTGAAAATAGAAGTTATCTCACCCATAAAGATAGAAATACGTAATTGTGTAAGATACAATATAAATTGTGTGATGAAAACACCCATGTATCTAAGGCTAGAAATTGGTGCACAGTCCAAAGCCTCTTTATTACTTTTGGAACATGAGTGTAACTGAATAAAATATGAGTCTTGTAAGAAAAATATTTTGTTCTAGCTTATTATTATAAAACATTAAAACAAATCGCAACTTTGAAATTTTAATACCATTAAATTCTCAAATTAGTAAAACTAAAGTTTACAAATAAAAATTAGCAATAACTAATGCATCTTAATTATTTAATTTTATTGTTAAACACGATTTTTAAATTTTGTTATTAAATTTGTTTTATTAAATATGTTTTGTTGCAAAAACATTATATTGAACAAAACAGTATAACTTTAAAATTTGAATAAAGCGTGAATGACGCAGTTATATTCTGTCTTGGCGGTAATTCTGTTGTATCATTATATTGAAATCATTCCCTTCAATCCACTTCAATTTTGTTTTAGACTTAGTAGCTGATCATTTAATAAGACTTTTTGCCATTCCTTTAGTAATAAAAAGAAACTTCTAATGATTACTTATTACATGTAATTTTTTTTTGATAATTTATGATTATTTTTTATAAAAATACGCGAATCATTCTAACATGCTATAAATAACTCTTAGAGAAATAGCTTCACTCTTAATTTACTACGGCAAAACTGGTCTTGTTTTTTTTTTTGACCGAGCCGGAAGTGTCCTCTTCGGCTGATACTTCATACCATTCCTACCCGGGGTACAAATTGAAACACTCCTTTGTAATCCCAGATAGAATATGATAAATATAAATATGAATATATCAGAATCATCCGAATGGTCCCTAATCCTCCCATCGTGGTTACGTCCTGCATTGCCGCCGTGTTAGGCGTGTATGGCAAGGCAGATCTTAGTCTTAGGTTGGTCGCTCCTGTTATTCTGCAATACGCTGTAAGTAGAAGTGTTTTAAAGCCTAGCCCGGGCCTGGAATGTAACCACCAGCATTCTTAAAAAGAAGTCCTCTCCAACCTCTATCTCCATATCATTCAAAAGAGTCATTGCCAAGGAAAAGTCCAAGGCATGGCACTTTGGCAGAAATGGCGAAAAATTATTTCGCCTTCCTTCGGGAACCCGTGCATTTTGGTCTCTAGCCAAGGCTGTCCAAGAGAATTACTGTAAACCATAACTTTCATCTCTGTACAGGGAAGACTATTCGCGGGCTCACGCTACAAAAGAGAAAGCTGACTTTTTAGGCTCCTTTTTTGCGTCCAACGCGACTCTCGATAACAGGGGGGAACACACTGCTGACCATCATGCCGTGTGAGTGCTCTATCCCTGATGAGAAATTCACACAGCGCTCAGTACGCAAAGCAATTCTCTCTTTGGACATTCACAAGTCGTGTGGGCTTGACGGAATCTCCCCCAAATGAGCTGAGGAGGTGTGTTTCAGAGTTTCCACTAGTTCTAATGTGTCTTTTCCGGTTCTCCTACTCCCTATCATCAGTCCATAATTCATGAAAGACAGCTTCCCTGCACCCGATCTCTAAAAGAAGTAACCGCTCTGACCCGTTCAACTACAGGCATATCGCCATCACCTCTTTGTTCTCAAAATAAAAAAGCACCAGCTGATTAGTGACCACCAGTACGGTTCCCGTCTGGGTTGCTTATATTGATGATCTTCTTATTAACCTATCACACCTATGGCCACAAGTAGTCGAGTCCTTGAGGGAGGCCTTGTCGGCTAGTTTAGATATAGCCAAGGCCTTCAATCGGGCTTGGCACAAAGCGCTTCTTTTGAAACCTCCTTATGGGCTTCAGAATAAATTAGCAGTTGAGTCAGATCGAAGCACTAAGGTCGTAGTCGACGGTGCAGCTTGTTAATGCTGGTGCTCTACAAGGCTGTGTGCTATCACCTACCCTGTTCCTTCTGCATATCAACTATATGTTACAAACCAATAACATTCATTGTTATATTGACGACATCACTGGCGATGCCTTATACACTGGCCATGCTAATATTTCTCGCGGAGTTAATGCTAAGCATTCTCTGCCAGTCAATGTTAGGGAAGTGTTGTATAGTCGAAGATGGTTACAGAATAAAATGAAAACAGAAAAATAAAAATTCGAACACACTACTGATACCTACTAATAATTGTACTTATCAAATAAAACGAACGACAAAATACAAAATAAATAAAATTAATGAAGAGGCGATCTAGATTGTCAAGGAAAACTTCGTTAAGATCTGAATAACACATATCGGCACAATCAATGATGGGCAAAATAAGAGATTGCAGCAGAATTATCTTAATTGCTTTCCGGAAGAATCGGTTCAAAGCACTCAGCTTAACGATTACTGAACAACTCATTTTCTTACCATGAGTGGTCCAATTTAGGATTGAATCAAAATAAATGCCGAGATTTTTGACGTAATAAGTGTAAGAAATGATAAAACGATCAAATGTGACATGATAAATAGTCCTAGCTTCAAGATTTAACAACTGTTAATTAGTCTTAATATCTAGTCTAGTCTTAATTTAATTATAATAGTTTGACATTTATTCAGATTTATACGGTGCCAATTATTAAGATGCAACAAGTCTATAAGAGTCTGTTCACAGTGGTATTTATAGATTCAAGGTTAAGCTGTTAAGCTGAGAAGATAAAATGTTAATGAAAATTGAAAAAAAGTGGTACTCTCTCCTGTAGTACGACAGACGTAATTTGATGCCAGTTAGATAAGTCGTTATCCCAGGGAATAAAAGCCGATGACCACAGAGGTAATAAGAAAACCAATGAACAACTGTTGAAGAAATTTTACAGTTTCCGGACATGGTAAGGAGAATAACATATTCAACCATGTTAAAAGAATTAATTTCAATCAATTATTACAAGAAATGTGACCTTTCTATTTTGTGATTTTAAGAAGAATAGTGGTTGTACTGTGTCGGGAGAAATTGATAATATGACAAGGTAAATAATAAATAAAGGACGACATTTATAAACTATAGATTCGAGAAGTTTTGATAAAAATGGTGGAATAGATTCTATAGTTGTAGTTGTAAATTGAATAGGATTTTCAATTTTTGGAAGCGGGATTATATAAACATTAAGCCACAAAGAAGAAATTGATATTGTTAATTAATTGTGACCAGGATAAAATTTTAGAGACCTAAGGAAATCATTACACGACTAACCTCATCACAACCCTTTGCTTTGGACTTTATGGAAACAAATAATTTGCGTATATCATCAACAGAGTCAATAGACTAAAAAAACATCATGACGAAGTTTGGCCAAGGAAATAATATTATAAACTGTTTCGGATTTAAAAATTGAGACAGTTGAGAACCAGATGTAAAATTGGAATTTAGTTCGTTGAGAATGAAAGACGATTTTGAATGCTATCAAGGTACATATCGACTTTATATCGGCCGAAGAAGAAATCAACATATTGTGATAGAAGTAGCAACAATTTCCGGGAAAACTTTTAAATAATCTCCTTTATATTCAAGATTATGTTTAATTATGATTAATAAAAAGTCAGACTGTGTCAAAGAAGGCACGTATGGCAATTCACAATGCTGTGTTAGTCCCTACTTTAACGTATAGTAGTGAAAGTTGGGTGTGGTAGAAGAAGCACGAGAGTAGAATAATCGCAGTAGAAATGCGGTCCTTAAGGAGTATGTTAGGGCTGAATCTGAATGACAGGTTAAAAATTATATGATAAGAGAAGAACGTGGTTTGCAAGATGATGTTTTAACCAAGATTAAGAAAGGAATGCTGCGGTGGTTTGATCATATGGAAAGAATGAATGAGGAAAGAGTGACAAAGCAAATTTATGTTGCAGAAGTGAACGGCATAGTCGGAAAGGGACGACTTAGGCGAAAGTTTATTGACCAAATTGGCGATATGTTGAAAAGAGACCAAATTAGGAGTAACCTTAACCGACGAGGTGTGTCAGGATCGTGCCAAATGGAAGTCTGTAGTCTCTGCCTACCCCTCTGGCTGACAGGCGTGAGTGTTTATGTATGTTTAATAATATTTACAGTTATGTACTCAGCTTATTTCGAAGCTTAATTCCAAAACGCCTGCGGCAAACTTCAAACAAGAAAGGCTACAAATGCGTTTCCACCTGGGAGGACTTAGATGGCATGCCTCACACACAGTCTGTAATTAAGCTGGCTCTCCATTAAAATCAAAATTAAAATATATTTATTCAAAATTGGCTTATACAAAACATTTTTAAAAGTACAAAGCAACGCTTAAACAAGTCCCTATCAGAGAAAACAAAACCATCTAGAAATTTTAGTATCCTTGTTTTTCAGTACGTTAACAATGAGATCACAGTTGAAAAGGTTAGCAAATACAAGTAAAGAACAGACTCAGGCCAAATGTAAATGCATCGCGTTGCGTTCAAATCTCACTTTAAAGGCTTTACCCGATTGGGGCGATAGCGATTTGATGCATTTTAACGCTATTCTCACCAAAGTACTTTTAATATTTATTAAGCTTAATTCCGTTTATGTAAAAAGCACTGTTGCCACATTCGGGCTGGTACTTCTTATTATCACCTTACACTCAGTGGAGATATTTGTGAAGAAACATGTAGGAGACACCTCGAAGCTAAGTTGGACCGCCTCGAATACATACACTGACATCTCTTCTCTTCTGGTTAAATTTTGAATTATGCACAAGAGTTGCACTGTCAAACCCTCCATTTCTGTTTGGATAGAATTTCATTCAATTCTTTCAATGTTGAAATGCCTCGTACGCATATAAAGTATTTTTCTACCACGTTTTTAACTTTTGGATCTATCGTAGGCTATGAGTGTTATGTAAATAATAAAGTTAATTAAAAAGTATTACTTTTTGTTTTTGTTTTTTTTTTCTCACAAATTCCGTTTAACTAATGGAAGTTATTCCCACACAAAGTATTTCTGGGTCCATGGAATCTTTTCATATACATAAATAATTTGCACATGAATAAATATCTAGTAACAGAACAATTATTTAAAAGGCCATAGAGCAGACCCATTCGCATACAGCATACAGTAAACGACTCCGAATACAATTATTATTTATTTACAATTAAGTATTTTCTTGACATAAATTTAAGTAGTTCTATTGACCTGAAAAACCTTTGTATTTTTTTTTGAAGTGATAAATTCCTTTGGTCACCACTCACGGTAAGTTCAACTGATCAGTATTATTATACTATAGATATATCAATATCGGAGTTTTATAAATAAGTTTATTTAATCAATATCGAAAGTCCGATATTTCAAAAAATATCAACGGCCCTAGTTTGAACTGATCAGTTGAAATTATCAGTTGAACTGACCGTGTGTGCCGTCCATTTGAAACTCGATAAAACGAAAAAGCGACAATAAAAAGAGACAAACTTATACATATGCGTTTTAAAAATATATTAAATAATATTAAGCGTATAGAATAAAATTATCTTAACATCATTTATATTGTTGGACCATTTAGCGTCTATTTTACGTACTACTTTGAGGGTCATCAGATTTTGTTTCATAAAATGACTTTACCTATATAGAATGTAGTAAATGGCGCTATTACAAAGCAATTTTACTCGAAATAAAATATTATTTTAATTAATTATACTAAAACTAAGTCTAAAAATAATGATTAAAATATTTATTTAGTATAAAATTAAACATTTATCTTTTATTTTATGCCGCACTTGTGGTTGAAAATGATCATATTAAATAAATCGTTTGCCATGAAATATTTTTACTTTATATCATTTGAAGGTTTCACTTTTACCACGTGTGAACTGCACAACGTTAAAAGTAAAAGATATATTTTAATAAGAGATCTAATCAATACAAAGAAATGCGTGTAAAACTTCAGACTTTATAAAAAATATCCTTTTGTTTTCTGAACATTGAAATGAAGATCATCTTGATAACTTATTATGATATAACAATAAAATATTTTGTGGAAATTCAAATGACTATGAATATTTTAAGTAATTACACCCATGTCATTACATAATGGTTTCTGCCAATTTCATAAAGGGGTTTTGTCATTTCATTGTGTTTTAATTTTGTAAAGAAAGTTTTGTAAAAACTTAAATAGAGTTTTATGAGTTTGTCAAATATTAAAATGAAAGTGACTAAAAATCCGAGAAATAAATTATTTTATTTTCTTTATCCGGCTATTAGGGTTTAGCCGGCTATAAGTAGGTGTAGCAGATTACTGTTAGTTAAACTTAGGTGTTTATGATTTATTCATTGCTAAAATTAAGTGTAATGTAAAACTCCAAATCATAATTGAAATAACTAAAACTTCTGTTAATTTTGTTAAAAATATCAAATCATTTATTAATACGACCGATATGATATAGGGACCTTCAAAAACAGAGATCACATGCTTGTTTGCCCCCTATTATATAATAATATAGTATAAGCGACACGACAGTAGGTTAAGGTGCGACTGACCCCAAAGCCGTTGATATTCATATTAAACATTTTATTATGTATATATATATATATTTTATGTTATGTTTAATATGAATATATTATCTGAGATTTTCTGGCATTACCCGTACTAGGAATAAATTTAATGCGCCTAAGTTTAACCAACCGCATTCAACTTCACTTATAGCTGGTCAAACATAGTTTGTATTTAAAAAAATATAAATAGCCGGTTCAAACAAAATAAATTATTCGTCAGGTTTGTAAAAATTGCATAATTGAAGTTTGAGGTGTACTTACAGTTGTTGGTGTTACTGTGGGTACAGTGGGTTTGTAAAATGGTTTGTCAAGATATGAAGCTCTATATTTAGAACTAAACCTGCCTTTAGGTTTTTCAGGATCGTTGATAATCTGTAAATGTTGTATTATGACAAGAATGTTTGAAATGTATGTTTATTTTATAAAACGAAAAAGGATAATACTCACGCCATTAGTAGATGCTTCAGTGGTCTTCGAGAATGTGTCACTATACTTTCGTAGTGTTCTTTCCTTAAATGTTGAAAGTGGAGATGAAGTTTCAATTTTTTGTTTAGATTTTCCAATTTTACGCGTATATTTCCTTGTCTGTATATTCCTAATGGATGGAGTAGCAGTCGTAACGATATAATCTTTTCTGTCTGAATCATTTTCAATGCTCTTATCTTTATAATTTGCATGGTATTTTTGAGTAGTCGGAAACACTTTTACTACAGACCTATTTTCACTTTCCTCAGCATTAGTAACAACTTCATTGTCGGTATTACTTTCGCGTGATTCCTTACTACTTACCTTTATTAAAAACTCTTCCTTTCTTTCTACGTGATTTTCTTCACTTAAATTGTTAGGGATTATATTTTTTACTGGTTTATTTATCAAACTAAATATGAGAGGCATGTCAGCCGTAGTTTCCATTTTCTTATCTGCAATCTTTGTTTCATTTACTATAGGTACTGTAACTGTAGTTGCTGTTACGTCATTATTAATATTGTTCCTCAATCGTGAATAATAAGTTGTTCTTGGTAGCTTAACTTTATTACTTACAACGCTAATATTAACTGCAGTTTTTACTCTATCGTTTGTGGTGGCTACTTCTGTTATTCTAATATCTTTTTTATCAAAACTTATCCTTGAATAATTTGGGGAGCGAACTGAGCTCTTCCGTAAATGTTGTCGAGATTCAAATCTTTTATTTTTTACTAAATTTTCAGATACTGGTTCTTCTGTTGCTGTTGTTTTTAATTTCCTATTAAATTTATATGACTTTTCTGTAACAGGACTACTTGATGTACTTTTTGTCACAAAAGCCACATTTAAACTACTGAGTTTTCGAAATTTTGGTACATATGATCCCCGTACCCGATATTCTTGTGATTTAGTTGTATAAGAATCGGTCACTGTTGTTATACTATCTTCAGTAGTTCCATTTTTTAATTCACTCTCCGTTGTGTTTAATTTACTGCGAAACTGAAACGTTTGTAATTAGCGTTTACACATCTTGAAAATTTTAGTGTTTTTTTTTTGTTTTATTCACTCTCGTAAGTCAAAACAGTAACATAACAATAATTTGAATAATTATTAAACAAAAAAAAATTACTGTGGTGATTTACGGAATTACGATTTAGGTAACTATATTACCCGTGTAGTATTTTCTAAATCACGAACTGTGTTGAAAGGCAGTATGGGTTGTGTGTAAGTATTAACTTTGTGTGTTGCTTTCACTGACAAACTCTCGCTGGATGGAGAGCTCAATTGTGTCTGAAAATGTAATGAAAATTTCACAAACCAAAAATACTGCATATATTTTATTTTACTGCAATATGATAATGTAAACTTACAAATAATTTCTGAAAGTTCTAAGCTTAAGGGAAATGGAGGATAATAAACAAATTTAATATTGAAGTCCTTATATTTTCGTTGATTACCCATAAAAAAGAATTACATTTCGTTAGTAGTAATTACTCACCGAAGCATTTTTAGTTTGAATCAAGGCTTTAAAACTTTCTGGATAGTTATCGTCATCACCAATCTCATCAGAAGTTTTAAGTTTTGACTTCATCCTAGAAGGTACTGTGTTATCTTTTCCCTTGGTTAAAGGACGCCTTACAACTCTCGTGGTCTTTAGGGTTGTGGATTTTGATGGACTACGTTCAGTATTTCTCTGGATATTCTTTTCAGATAGATTTGTAGATATTGTACGACTTTCCGATTGACTATTAAACGTTCTTTTCTTCTGAACAGGCTTAATGACTTCATTAGATGACAAAATACCATCCCCAGTTAAATTTGTATCAGTTTCTGATAAACGCGTCCGGTATCTTAACTTTCGTGAATTTCTTGTATTTTCTGAAGGTGTTTCACTAGTAGATATTTTTTCTGCAACAATTAATGCATTAGTTGCACCAGAACTTGCCGTGTCTTCTAATTTAACGTTAGTTCTAGTATTTATGCGTCCACGTGATCGTATTAATTTTGGAGTTGACGAAGTTACACTTTGTATAGTTTTCGTAGTCGTGCTTCTCCTTTTAAACTGAGCACTTGTGATATCCTCTTCTTTTGGTATAATCCGTGTGAAATCATCAAAATTAGATTCAATTGTTTTTTTATCATCAATAACTGGAGAAGATATTTTTAATGAAGTCTGTGTAGAGCTGTACTGAGTTTTTCTATTGCTTATATCTCTGATTCTATTATCTTCGATGTCGGGAGAAGACAACACTAAAGGAGCAGTTGTAGTAGTAGATTGTGGCCTTCTGTTGATTGGCCGCGATTTGCTCTTGACTGTTGTATCTTGACCAGCGTAAGAAGAGACGACATTTGCCTCAGCTTCTATTGGTCGACTACGTAATCGATTCGTTGTTCTGGAATCAAATCTTTCGTTACGCCCATTTTTCGTAGGAGATTGTTCTGTAACAGTAGGTGAAGAATATGTATCTGAAATCTTAGTTCTAGATCTTGTTCTATTAATATCTCGCGGTGTAGATGTTGGTGGTTCTTCTCGTCTTCTAGAACTTCTCGGCCGAAAAGTGGGCTGTACATCCTTCATTTTGTGCTGTGCTAGTAGGCCCACTTGATTTGAAGTTTGATGAAAGTCGTCTGCCGGTACGCGTATTTTCTACCTGAAATACACAAATAAATTATTAAAAATTTGAAAATTATAAAGTGATTAAATCAGTACATTTCAACAAATTTGTTACAAGTTCGGTTTTGGTTCTTATTGCTATATAGTTATGACACTGCTTAACGCTTTAAAACATTATATGTTTTAGAGCGTTAAACAGTGGTAAATCAGTACATATAATGTGCCAGCGAGTGTCGAACCAGGGTTGCTCCTGTCGTGTAGAATTTTTGGGGAGGACTAAACCTGAGAGCTACCAAGTGGCTTGAAAGTAAAAGACAAACTGTACACACACACACACACACACACACACACACACACACACACACACACACACACACGCACACACACACCCACACACACACACACACACACACACACACACACACACACACACACAAGACAAACGAGTATGTATGTATTATTTTATTTTATTTTCATTTATACAAACACGCGCACGTCGTGCAAACTCGCCTGTTCATTACCACATTTTAGTAGTTTAGTCCTCTCGCAAGTAACGCTTTGTGGCATTGTTGCACGTCGTTTGTGGCATAGTCCTGAGTCATAGACCTGCATCCATGCATGTCTTACCGGATCATAACTTGATCTAGTTGGGGTTGCCCTTACTGGTACGAAGCTACCACTCGAGAACCTTTCTTTCTCATCGTTTATTATTTTTTGAGCTTTATAGCCGACCAAATGCCACGTCAGCTTACTGATCTCTATGCTATGTTGATAACTCTGGTTCTGCTGCGAATATCATCTCTACGGGTTCTATCACATTAAAAAAATTATCAAAATTTATCCAACTTTAAGCAATGGAGGCTACAGATGCGCTATCATCCATAGGTGCTATAATAGAATTCATTATAACCTCTAATGTTAATAACGATCAAAGGTATCCTTCTATTATTCTCTTTATACGTTTAAAAGCAAATAAATATATTATTCCGTTGTGTGTTTAAAATGCAGAACATTAACTAAATACCTCGTTTTGTATTACACCTATATTAGGATTAGATAATATTTCAATCTATGCTTGTAATGGATTTAAGGCTTACACCTGCGTTCTCTGCACTAGAAACTTTATTTATTAGGTACTATTTATTTATGAAGTAATTACAAATGACCGGTGACTTATAATAAAACGGAATGATCTTAAATATTGAATTTTGCAAAAAAGGGAATCTACCACCTCTTGTTTGAGCTTTTAAAGTTAAAGTTAAAGTTACAAAGTCTATATAAGTTAAAGTCTATATAAGTTATATATAAAAGCACAGGCCTCCTCTTTTTTCTGAAAGGGTTTTACGGTAAGAAAATGTCCGCCGCGCTGTCCCAATGCGTTGGCGAACATCACATGTCTTAATTAAGTCCGTAAATCATGTCATGATTTACGGAGATTCATAAGCATTAAAAATCAACGCTGCCTTAAAACAAATCCTTCCCACTTCGAGATAAGACCATGTCCAGCAATGTATACGAGTAGGTTGATGATGAGGAATAAGATACCTAATTGAGGTAATCAAGCGACACTTTACGTAAATTAATTTTATTGTATACAATATAATTATTTATTTATTTATTTATCATTTGCGTAATGTATTTTACAATTATTATAAAAACATATTGAAGATTTTAATTACTCGTCCATATCTATCAGCTGAGTTAGGTATCTGACATAAGAAATATTATGCAAATATGAAAATCCACTAATAATAATAAATTCCTTTTAGGTTTTACGTATCGGGCAAGGATGCATCGACTTTTTGCTGAGCTGGAGCCATCTGTAACCGCCACCGAGTAAAACCTGGCAGACCGAGTTCGGTATATCTTGCGCTCAAATACATTTGATGACGCCGAACTCGAACGGCTACGACGTGAGGCTGTTCCTTCATCGGGTGAAAATGCTGCGGCTGAGGATGCGGCACCACAACTTGCACAGCAACCGGCAAACGTGGAAGCGGCCGTGAATACCCCAGTTTTGGTTGATTAAAACGATGATGGAACAGTCGCCAAGGAACTGGAACTAGAGCAAATGAGGTACATTGGAAGAGGCGATTGTGGAAACGCGCAGTACGCCTCTCGAAAATCGACCGCGACTTCCCCGCATATCTCTAAGCAAGTGGAATCGGGCTGTCGTAAGGGCTCTGAACTCAATGCTGGTTACCTATTTGGAAGCCAGCCGGGACCTTTGCGAGACGGACTCAATTCTTTTTGGCGTCGCACTTGCAGTCTACCGTATTATAGGCGCCAAACTTTCCACGGCTGGACGCGCTACTGGACAAAGTAGTGCTATCCCAGCCTGGAGAATAAGAATTGAAGAACGTATCGCAAAGGCTAGGGCCCTCATCGGCAGACTGATATGCTTCAGATCAGGCAATACCAGGCCAAGGATTGTGCGCACCGTCAGGATGGCGTTTGCTGGGACAAATGTTAGTTTGTCCCAGCCGGATATAATGCAAAAACTGACGGAGCGCATAGACGACCTGAAGCAAAGAATCGCTGCTTGGGGAAAGCGGATTCGGCGATATACCGAGAGGTCGACACGGTTCAACCAGAATTGTCTCTTCCAGAGTGATCAGAAGAGGCTCTATAAATCATTGACCATCGACCCCAATGGTAAGTGGAACGGGCCCAGCACCAAATCAGGCCGACACGGACGCATTCTGGCGCAACCTTTGATCAGAGCCCGTAAACCACAACGAGGGCCCTTGGACGGAAGTTATAGCGAGTCATTGTGCGGGTATTACACCCATGGACCCCGTCATCATAACACCGGATGACGTAGCTGAGGCGGTCCGTAGGGCCCCGAACTGGAAAAGTCCGGGGCTTGACGGGCTGCATCACTACTGGCTGAAGGGGTTCATGGTGTGTCACGCTGTGCTCGCCCGACAGTTTCAAGAGGCTCTCAACCAGAAGTCGCTCCCAAGCCTCTTCACTACTGGGATCACTTATTTGGTTCCTAAAGATCAGGGTGCCACAGACCCGAGCAAATACCCCCCTATCACGTGTCTACCGACCATATACAAGAAACTAACATCCATTTTGAGAGCGAGAATCACTCGTCACCTGGACTCAAATCAAGTGATGTCGCGCGCTCAAAATGGATGTCGGGGCGGCGGTCGTGGAACCAAGGAACCACTCCTCATTGACGCGGTCATTGGCAAAGTGGTGAAACGCAACCGTCGGAACTTATCCGCCGCCTGGATAGATTACAGAAAGGCATTTGACTTGATGCCCCATACATGACTAAAGCTGTACAAGATTGACTGTACAGTTCGAGACTTCCTCGAGTAGTGTATGGGGCAGTGGAGTACGATCCTCTGTCATCTAGGTGAGCGGATGACGGCTGCGGAAAGCCGCATAGGGATAAGAAGGGGTATATTCCAGGGCGACTGTCTAAGTCCAATCTGGTTCTGCCTCTCTTTGAACCCTCCAGTACTTTACTGGAGGGCTCCGGGAGAGGATTTCAGCTTCGGAAAGGAGGTACAAAAGTCACCCACCTTTTCTATATGGATGACCTCAAATTATTCACCTCCAGTCGCTCCCATCTTATGGAATTGCTAAACATCACTTGTGAATTTAGCAATTCTATTAGAATGGAGCTGGGGACGGATAAGTGTGTGGTCCTCCATGTTGAAAGAGGAAGGGTTGCTAACTCTGAGGGCATAGACTTATCTATGCCCGTCAACTTAAGGACCCTTTCCGAGGCTGAAACATACCGATACCTGGGTATGTCACAGTACATCGGTATCGATGAGGCTGGTATGAAACAGTCAGTTTGCGACGTGTTTTATGCACGCTTGACCAAAGTGCTTTAACAGCCTTTTGTCTGGTGTAAATAAGACACATGCATATAACGGTTGGGTCATGCCTGTCCTCATGTACACCTTTGGCATACTCAGGTGGAGTCAGACTGAAATTAACGCCCTGGATAGAAAAGTCCGCACTACAATGACGTGCCATAGAATGCATCATCCGAGATCGTCGGTAATGAGGCTGTACTTGCCACGAAAGCATGGTGGGCGTGGCTTTTTGAGCGCGCTCACCATGCATAATCGCGAAGTGTGCAGCCTCCGTCATTACTTCCTGGCGAGATCGGATGATCCATTCTATGATGACGTCATTTCTAGTGATAAAGGACTTACCCCTCTATCCTTAGCCAACGAGCAATGGCAAGACCCGGCAGTACAGAGCATTTCCGACCGAGAGACCGTATGGAAGGATAAAGAACTCCACGGGAGGTACTACAGGGCTGTACATGAGGCCCACGTAGATACAGCCGCCTCCCTCAACTGGCTACGTTTCGGTGACCTCTGCGGTGAAACCGAGGGTTCTGTCTGTGCAATACAGGATCAGGTTATTAAGACCAACAACTATCTGAGATACATCCTAAAGGATAGCACTGTCGACGTCTGTCGAGCTTGTCGCCATCCCGGGGAGTCACTTAGGCATGTCATCTCCGGTTGTACGGCGCTTTCTAACTCTGAGTATTTGCACAGGCACAACCTAGTAGCCATAATTCTACACCAGGAGCTCACTCTGAAATACGGTCTCGTGAACCGAAAATAAATTCGCCGTATTACAAGTACTTGCCGGAAGCCGTGCTCGAAAATAACCGCGCCAGGCTCTACTGAGACCGGGCCATCATCACAGACAGGACTATTCTTGCGAATAAGCCTGATATTGTGCTGATGGACCGGGCACAGTCAAGGATATTTTTGGTCGACATTACCATTCGTATGACGAGAACCTCGTGAAAGCCGAAACAGATAAACGAACAAAATATCTGGACCTGGTTCACGAGGTGTCCGACATGTCGGGTGGTGTGCCGGAAGAAATTATTCCTGTAGTCGTCTCTGCGAATGGGCTAATCCCAGTCAGCTTCTGGGGTCATCTGAGGCGACTGGAACTCCGTGACGGATCGCTCCGGGCTCAAATGCAGAAGGCGGTGCTCCTCGATACCGCCCGCATCGTCCGCCGGTTTCTTACCCTTTCCTCCTAACCCTTGGCCGTTTGGTCTCCCCTGCCGAGGGCTTCCATCTGTTTGTATCTTATTTATTTATGTATTTTTTATATTTATTTTATTTTATTGATATTTATGTATATTTATCTTTTCATTATCTATAAATATATAATTATATAATTTATAATTATATATTTATAGAACCCAACCAGATGAGAAAATTATATAGATACCCCAACATAAATTCCTTTCAAATAATCGACTATATAATAAAACTTAATGTTATAAGAACTTATGTTAGAATGGTAAAAATACCTGATGCCTGTTCGGTCCTAAACTTAAAATGTTACAAATTGTGTTCTCAACTAATAGTTAAATAAAAAATAAAGTACTTTGATTTTGCTACCGCAATGTTCGGTTTGAACTTGATTCAACCTCCAACCAGTATAATTTTTCAAGGAACTAAAATATTAACAAAAAAACCGAGATAAAATTATTACACAAAAAATCCAAGTTAAGTTCTATACTTCGTAGAGAGATGTGAAACTCTAGTGTCGTATGCTACTTGCACATACACTTTGGCAGTCTTTCACAGAATTAGTAATTCGTGTATGAGGTAATGTATACGCTTTTACAACAAAATCCCAGAAAATGTACAAAATTTGTCATTAAACAAGTTTAAATGTTTTATTAAAGAAAAATTGTACAAAAGGGTTATTATAATATAAATGAATACATAAATGAAAATAACAAGGGTTATTTTGATGAGATGGGGAATGAGGTGATCGCCTGCTGATTCTATAAAAATTAATACAAAAATAGTACAAAATAGATTTATTGTAAATTGAAACATGTTTAAAAAATAGTCCCGCTGGGTTTCTTGTTGGTTCTTCCCAGGACAGAGGTTTTTCCGGGAACCAGTGGTAAATAAAAAATGACCTTCAATAAGTATTATACAATAATCTATATTGAATAAAAATCATTCATTTCATTTCATCTCAGAGGTACCTCGTTTAGAGCCAAAACGGCATCAGAGGCAGCTGAAGTATGCCATTTACTGTAGAGACTATCGGCCCGTAGGTTCCACTTGCAGTGAAATTCCTAAAGGAACTGTATCTGCGACTATGACGAGTCGTAGATACAATTCGCTGCTGGTGATAAGAGGGCTGATTCTAGCTCAGAAACGCAGCCAGCGCTCTTCACATAATACTACTGAAGGTAATTTAAGTTTTTAGTTTTAGTTTTTATTTATTTTTTAATTTAGTTTTCTCATATATTTCAATGTTATTTTGATAATAAATATTACTTTATTAAGGGTATAATTAATAATTATTTAATATTAGCGATCCACAGCGGCTTTGCTCAACTGCTTCTGCATCTCGACAACAGCGCCACCTAACGGGTCTAAAGGTGTAATAAATTTTTGATTTAAATTTGTATAAAGTTTATACAAATTTAAATCAAAAATCCATCCCTATGGGTGAAAATATAGGATATTTTAATTTTAATGCACTACTGCATTTAAACGACATTTAAGTTGTAACCTTGAACTTTTGATATTCGTTAGACCACTCAAAAGGGTTAAAGTCAAAAGTGTATGTGAAAATTAGGTTTTTTTTATTTTTTATTTTAATTTCGTCGTTCTAATTTTCATTAAAAGTTTAATTATTGTCTGTGTTTTCATCAATTTAGTAACCTTTTATAAAAAAAATATCTTGAGACTTACATTTTGATCTCTCGTAATAAAACGTCATCTCTTAATTTCGATTAGTAGCGGCAAAATCACAAATTTAGCGGTGATCGTCTAATTTAAAATGCACGCGCTTCCCTCAAATGATTGGTAGAATTTGTCATATTTAATATGTATGTATCATAAAACTGAGCTCTTTCTATTCTATTGTGTTTTAGTAATTTTAGCATTTTAACGATATTTGACACGATAAAAGGTCTCACCGGAAATTCATGGGAGGCGCGTGCAGTTGAAATTAGACGATCTTTACCAACTTAATTCTCATATTATATGTCCTGGACTATTATATTTTATTGTTTCTTGCACATTCGTTTTCATTGCATTATTTATAAATATTTTTTACAATTTGCGATTTCACATTAAACCTGTTTAAAAATTATACACTAACTCAACACAGAGAACTTATGAATCAGCGGTTTAAAAGAGAAGGTAAGGTCTGTGGTGGCTGGTCAATTACAAGTTTCAGAGATCCGTGTGTGTACAAGTGGACCAAGTTGTGTAACGTCGTGAATGCAACTAGTTAGGGTCTGGTATATGTAATGAAATGTAGCGTTTTGAGTTTTTGATATGTAATTATAATAAGATTACTTGCGCACTACGGATTATACATACGTTCTGTTACTTACTTTTTAAAGGTAATTCGATCAAGAAAATCAATATTTAAGTAATAAGAGCCGAAAAAGTCAGAGTTAGAACATCTATCAACCAAATAGGCGTCGTAAGAGGCGACTATGAGAAATGCCAAAAATATCTCATGTCTTCCTATAGATTTTTTTTTTATAGAATAAGCTGACAAACGAGCACACAGTCCACCTGATGGTAAGTGGTTGCTGCGGCCTATAGACATCTACATCTATCTTCCATTACAAATCAAAATGCAGATGCGTTGTCACCCGTGAGGACTGAGATGGAATGCCTCATTTTCAGTAAAAAGGGTCTCCGGTTCTCTACACTCACCATACGAAATACAGCAGCATCAAGCTACTATTTCACGCTGGTATTCTGTGAGAGTGTGGTCCTTCCCCGGTCGAGCCGACCCATTCGTGCTACAACTATACTATTAATAT